ATGGCTTCGGTGTTCTGAGCTTGGTTGGATGTTGATACCCCTCAAACGAGGATGCGCTGCTAGATGGTCGCTTTTAAGCACAAGGGGGCTATCCTGAAAAATGCTATTTTGAGAAAATCGAAGGTGAAGCTTTTGCCCCTTGTTCAGTTTCTTTAACCTCTTCACTGCTGAGTAGACGTCTGTTCTGGCTTGTATTCTCCACTTATATTGTTTCATCTGACTGACAAAAGAAGTTTTAGTTGGTGTAGTTACAGCTTGTGATTTTGCTTATTCTGAAACAATTCTCTGTGTTTATATATTCCTTGAATTAACATTTTATCTTGTTGATACAGATGTTAATGGAAATTTTCGAGCAGTGAAGGGGTTAAAAGACAAGGATAGTTTTCTCTAGAACCAAACAAATAATATAATTCTTAATGAAACCAAACTTCTCCTTTACGTAGGACAATGCCCACGTTTGGTGTCTCTAGGCCAAGATTTCTGGAAACTCCCGAAACCTGGGTTAGCCCGCTTGTCCTTACAAGCGACCATATTATATTATTTCATTGAGGTTGTGTTGTCAACAACGGTGCGTGCGACTGGCGAACGTTGGTGTGGCGGTTTGCTCCTTCTACAACTATTTGTTAGTTTTAGTAGAGGTTTCACAGCGCTCACAACTGCATAAGGTCATATGAGCGCCAAGGGGTGGATGTCAACAGAGAAGTCTTTACAGGGAATCAGGCCTACTCTGCTCATCTCTCTAGCTTCAACAGCACAAAGTCTGCTTAGACTATCATCAAGGCACCTCGGAAATAGCGGTCACAAAAGTGTGACAAACATACAAAAGAAGTAGAGGAAAAATGACGATAGTAAGGATTAGGGGAAAAAAGCAGCAGTTCCTTGTTGTAGTTCAGGCGCAGTTATGAGCGTGACATTGTTGAATCAGCCCATTTACAATTTGACTGTACAAAAGAACAAGTTAAAGTCCCCCCTTTGGGAATGGCCTAACGACACTTCAGTCAGCGGCACCGCCCCAAGGAG